TGCATGTGTGTGTGTGTTGTCTGTATATGTTGGTATACACACACAAACACCCCGAAACAGGTATATATACATACACGTATTTGTGTGTGTGTATATCCACCCAAGCATGTGCTTGCATGCATGCACACACATCCACATGCACACACATGTATACAAATATGTCTACATATGCATACAAACAAACTAAGAAACAATGAAACTGACACACATACATACACAGAGACACATACATACATACATGCATGCATGCGGACATACAAAAGTCTCATGTTTATATAGACACGTAGAGGTATGACTGCGGATGTGCATGGGCCTTAATGTAAGAAGATGTAAAGACACCCACCAACACCCACCCACACACATATATATATATATATGTATATGTACATGTGCATGGGAGCCCCTCCCGACACGAATGAACGGCCTGGCCTTCTCTGTGGCTTCCAGCTTCTTGAGCTGCTCATCCTGACAAGGAGCTTATAGGGCTCCGGGGTTCTCGGGTTTAGGAGTCGGGCTTTAGATCGGGCGAGTTGCGGCCCAGGTGGCTCTCTCCTCACACTTTTTCGCATTCTTTGCCGCTTTGCTTCCAATCTGCGTGCAATGCATGGGATGTATGGACTCGTGAAGTGTTAACAACTGCAAAGTCAACATGCATCGAGCGGCTCGGTCGAACTCATCTCGCAAATCCTCAATGTCTTTCAGCAGGGCCTTGGCGGGGGCATCCTCGGCATCTGCTATGGCCTCGGTTTTGGCAAGGAAATCATGCAATGAACTAGGAATCAGGTTTGATCAAGTCCGGCTTAGAGTCTTTCTTTTTTTAGGGTGTGGGGTTTAGGGTTTATCGGGATTTCGAGTTTAGAGTTTAGGGTTTTGGGTTTGGGGTTTACAGGGAGGTCCCACCTCGTCCCAGCCACAAAGAGCTTCGCCTTTGTTCCACCAGTCCTAGCAAGAGTGCAGGTGAGAAATCACAAAACACAGTTGGCGACAATCCTCGTCCCATTCCTCAGCCGGCATGACCCGGTCCTCGGCACAGTGTACAATTGTACAAAGAGCGACAAGTCTAAGGTTGAATGCACAACAATCACAGCAAGCCTCCACTGGTCCGGAATCCGGCAGGGCTTTCGTCTCCTGAAAGGATGAACGAAAATTTGGGTCGCGGCTGCTAATCCCCCGCCGTCGAGGCTCCTGGGATATACCCCAGAAGCCATGCCAGCTGGAGCCCATCGGATCCTTCTCGAGCCACCACTTCTCGTCGCCATTCTTGTCGTCCTCGGGATGATCGAATTCTTGCTGGGCGATTACAAGAAGCAAGCTTCGTATGGCAAAAGTTGCAAGTCTCCTCCCAGCAATCCTGGTGGTCTTCCATGTTGTTGCCCTCGGATTCGCCATGGTTGTCCTCCTTGGAATGATTGATGGGTGTTACGTAGGAAACAACAACATTTGTGTGCAATGCACCTCCCAGCATTCCTCGCGGTCTTCGGTCTCGTTGCCCTCGGCCCACTCCATGCCATCCTCCTGTGATGTATATGGATATTAATGATGTACAACAAACAACAATAACAAGCTTGGCAGTAGATCTCCTCCCAGCACTCTTCGCCATCGAACTCGTTGTTCTGGCAGTCGTCCTGGTCATCTATATGATTTAAAGAATATTACTAGCTCCAGCACCGATAACAGTTGGATGCATGCAAGCCTCGTCCCAGTCTTCCTTCCCAGACTGATACCATTCTTGCTTGGTGTGGTCCTGAGCGAGAAATACTAAATGCACAGCCGGATATATATTATGTACACCACAGGCTGGCCTCTGCATCCTCGGACCATTGCATGCCATGGTCCTCGCCAAATAATGAACCAAAGGGGTTGAGGCGTTATTAGGGGTTTGGGTTTATGGTAGCATAAATATATATATATATATGTATATATATATACATATATATATATACATATGGTTTGGGTCAAGCCTGAGGGTCGTCCACCGAACTTTCGGCGCTTTTTCCCGTGACCTCTCGATGGAGGTGGCGGGAAAGGGAACACCTCAATGCACAACCCAGCTGATGCCTTGGCGTCCCCCTGGGTCCACTCCGATAAAGAGCTTGGATCCTCGAGCACACATGTATAGGATCCCCGAGTCACAATTGAGTTGCATGAATCAACCGAGCGACGAAATAGATCGTCACATCCGACTTTGTGTCCATTTCCTAGGCGTGAATATTTGTAGCGAGCATCAAAGGGAAACACTCAACACCACATTTAAACCCCAAGCCTTGGCATCTCCACGATCGTGCGACTCCTCGGTGTCCAAAGTTGAGTCCGAACTCGAGCTATTGCACTATATACACAGCATACCCCATGCCAGCCTCTAGCTTGACGTCCTCGTCAAACTCGGTCCATTCCGGTGCCTGATCGACAGGGATCGTGCCTGGGTTAACCACACGATATACCACATGCATGCGAGCAAAGCCTGGGCGTCCCCGTGCTCCTCGGTCCATTCCGGTGCCTGATCGATGGACATTATTTAATGGCTTGTATAAGCAACAGAATACCACATGCATGCTTGCATGCCTCGGTGTGTCCAGAGATCCTCGGTCCATTCCGGTGCCTGATCACGATGGACATGAATTGATGATCCTTATAACCACAGGATATACCACATGCATGCGAACAAGCCTTGGCGTCCCCGTAATCCTCCGTCCATTTCGGTGCCTGGTTGATGTGAATGATCGTGGGTTTCAATTTCGAGGTATAATATACCCATCCAGCCTCGGCGTCATCACCTGTGTCATCATCCACCTGGCTTGAAACAGGGTGTTTATGGGTTTGGGATTTATAAAAGAGACATTCTGTATGATCCGGACGGGCCTGCTCGGCCCAACCATGATCATCGTGATCATCCCAGGCCTGCGGGTCTTCGGCTGTAAAGACAAACTCACAATTGTTCCCGGTATCTATGCCTCGGCCTCGGCATCGTCGCCCTCCATCTTGAGGACCTTCGGCTCATTCCAGCTCCATGTCCCTTCCTCGGATGCAAGGTTTTTGGTTCGGTATTATGGTTTATGGGTTTCGGGGCTTAGGCTGCATGCTTCGATCCCAACTATAAAGGCAGAGGTGACCAAGAAGCCTTGCCAGTGGAATCCATATCATAATTTTCATCTTGCCATTTCACCGGATCCTTAAGGAAAACAAGATAGCTTTGGCAAGCCACAGATTGAAATCACTGCTCTGGCCTCATGGTCAGGGTCAGCGGGCTCCAGATGATCATCTGCAGCGAGCTCCTGCGTACAATTTTAAAGAGCGTCTCGCCACTATGATCAACATCGAACATACAAGATACATAGGCGAAATACGGCGGCACTCTCGAGCAAACTATCCCCGGATCCACTCCTTGCGGATCCAACCATAGTCGTCCTTCCAAACCCAGCCATTGTTCGGATCCTCAGATGCATGCAATCTATATATCGATTTCCTCGATCCTGCCCAACACATGAACAAGAAATTTATAAGCCAAAGTATCCACATCTCCCGATCATGATCTTCCTTCGATGCATGCAATCAATCCATATGTCGATGCCCACTCACCAAGATATGAGTAGCCGAAGTATCCACTTGGAACGGAGGCACAGCAGGCCGGATCGCGAGCCGCTTGCTCGACTGAATCTCGCCCAGCTTAGACACGAGACGGAACCATGCATGCATGGGCAAAACTCGAAGCGAGGTTCAACAACCGCAAAATTCATGCAAGCCACACTGGAAGTACTCGAGGCCGCCCGCTTGATCACCTGTGCGTCCTGGATAAGGGCATGCATGGTATTTTCTGGAAATATATATACGGGCAGCATGGCATCGATTTACACTGTCCTCGGTTTCATCCAGCTGCCATGGCTGTGTATCCATGGTATCCATGGCGCTGTATGATCTTCTAGCCTTCTGGAGTAAAGATAGTAGCAGCTGGGCACTATCTTTAACCCACTTTCGTTTGGAGTAGCCAGGAGTGCATGTTGGGATCTCCAACGACTTGGAGTCGAGGAGATTCTTGACGACACTGGTCGTGACTTTCTCAGTGAGGAGCCGGCCTTCGTATTCAAAATTCTTCATAAAGCTCATCTGCTGTCTGGCGGCCGAGTGCCTCAATGACTTCGATGCAAAGAGTGATCCCGTGGTTCTGACATACTCTAAGTCGAGGGAAGCATACACCAGATCGGTCAGCTCCAGAATCTTTCGCTCACGAGTCTGCACTGCAGTGTCCATGGCAAATACGAGCTTTAATATCGTTGTGCAACATAAACTGAAGTGAGCATGCATGCATCACAGGATAGTTTGCCGAACGATCTGCATGTGCATGCTCGGAACTGGCCAGAAGCATTTTCGCAGGCCCATGCCTTCGAACAAAAAATCGCCTGCGATCCGGTGGTTCCATTCACACCACTGCAGCATCAATCTCGACTCTCGACCTTTAATGGCATGTGCACACTCGGAGACAGACAGACACACACACACACACACTTGCATGTGTATGTATATATATATATATTTATTTATTTATTTATGTACATATATGTATTTTTCATGTATACATGATATATATATATATATGTATATGCATGTCGTCGCCGACAGTACTAGAAACAAAAACATCGGATGTCAAAAGAAACTCTGTCGGCAACGGCATGCCATTATTCGGTATTGTGCGGCATGCTTATAAAAAAACGAAATGGATGACCATATAGGGTCAAAAAGCTATATTGTTGAGCTGCGATGTGAGCCACTTGAGCCTATTGACGACAACTCCGAAAACCCGACTGCTCCCAAGGAGGAAGAAAGTCAAGTTGTCAACGTCGACCACGACGATGATGATGACCCTCCATCACCAGGCGGCGATGATTCTCCACAAGAAGACGATGAGGGAGAAGAAGAACAAGAGGAAGAAGAAGAGTCAGGTCATACTCAGGAATCTGAGGGAGAAGACTCTAGTTAGTCTTCTTCACTTCGTGTTGCGAACAAGCATTCAACGACACAGTCTTCCAATGATACTCCCACAGGAGCACCAACAGTGAAGTCCAAGAAGAAAAGAAGCAAGAACAAAAAGCAGTCCTGGGCACAGACCATTGAAGAGGAAGACATTGCCAAGGAAATGGACCGTTGCAATCTCAAGTCAGATGAACCTCCATCAGGAGATGAACAGAAAGAGAAACATCCGAAGAAGAAAACCTACAATACAAGGACCCAGTCCTTCTCTTTGACCCCGAAACCTGAGGTGTTTACAAGACGGAAAATGTCCAAGTGAACTTCCTCTGGAAGACAGGGCCGAAACTGCAGATCTCGAAAGTGAAATCGAAATGCTTCGCCTTGACCGTGAGGAAAATAAGAAACGACAGAGGAATGAGAACAACGAGGCGATGAAGAAGGAACAAAGGGCCTTGGACTACAAGAGCCGTTGGAGACGCAAAACAAAAGCGACTCCTGTTCCTCAAGAGTCCAAGAGCGAAGAGGCTGAAGAACCTCCTACAGGAGGATCAGGCTCAGCCTCGTCGTCGGCTCAAGCTCCTAGAAAGGAGGAATGGCCGTACAGGTCCTTCACAACAGGTCTCAACAAGAAGGTGCAGTTCCACGAACGGCACGCGCATTCGATTTGTGAACTCTGCCAGAACGAGACAAGCTATTCTTGTCCCATGTGTCGACAGACTATTTGTGCTGACTGGCGTACCTTCCAGTCAACACCGGAGCGGCTGTGTCATTGCATTTTCCTTCCGAACTGATGCCAAAGTCCACTAGCCCCGCAGGACTGGGCCCTAAGCAGCGCACAGTGTCTCATGGAGACCGAAATTGATCTGGGCCGAGCACATGGAAAAGGTTCTGGAGTACTGTTGGAAGGCCCGAGAGAATTTCAAACATGAAAATCCCGGTGTCGACCCAGCTTCTTTTGAAGATCTTCAAGATCATAAGCCGCTGTTTTATCAGCCGGCCGGACCTTTGCCTACTCTCGAAGAGCACCGTGAGATTAATCACGCAGACGTGAATGTCCACGGGAATTCTTCACCCCAAGAGGTTTTAAAGATCTTGAGGGCGCGGAAAGACCAGAAAACTCTGCATGCCTACTACACCCTTGTAGAAGACCGCCTCAGCGGTAAAAGCAAGCCAGAGGATATGCTGGAGGGCATCAACCCGGACAGTTCCCAACTGGAAATCGCATTATTCAACTGGGGCAACCATTATAGGGAACCACTTCCAAAGAGAAGTCGTCACAAGGTCGTCCCTGGAAAACCTCGTTATCCCTTGGTTGCCATTCCAACCATGCCCTCGTGGTGGAAGCCGACGGACTAGTCTCCGAGCACGCTCAAGGAGCGCAAAAGGAGGCTGGCTTCAGAGGAACGCTCGTCAAAACGAGTCCAAAAGGACGCATAAGCTCCTTCACTTTACGTCGGAGTCCGAGGCGACGATACCACGGACGTGGTGTTGATCCATCATCACAAGAGGACCGCAACATACCGTTACAACACTGAAGCTCTTGAGGCATGCTCGTGCCACGGTGCGGTCTGTCGCATTGGCTTCGGAACTCACGGCACCAACGAGGATGCCAAGGAGTTCCATCATCCCTTTACGGGTCAACGCCTCACAACGCAGGAGTATCAGGAGTATGTTGGAATAGACCCGCTCATGGGTAAGGACATGAACGAAGACCGTCCTGAAAAGATTGAGTACCAGACTCCAGACCTGCTGGCTTCGACTGCAGAGCTCTCACAAGAGCAGTGCACCTGCGCCTGGGGCGGTTTCAATGATGGAGCCGATCTCACAGCTGCAGAGTATGAAACTTTCTACGATCAGAATGCCGCAGTCGAGCTGGGCCCCATCTTCACCAAGTGTGCAGATTACAAATCACAAATGAGTCATAAGGAAAGCACCCGAAGCATTATGACTCGGGATCTCCTGAATGCCGAGCTCCCGTACAAGCCTCATGCCATTGCAGGAAATTTCAACAATCTCTGCTCAAAAATGAGCTGCCAGGGAGGCGATGTTCACCCGCGCACCAGTCTGACCCTCTACCTAGAGGAGATGTTGCATGCGTGTTATCAAAATGCCTCAGATCAGTCTCAAGTCCGATACTATTGTATCAAAAAATCGGACAAAGAGAGACTGGCTCGTGCTGACAGGCTCTCACAGGAGGTGGGTCGCAGACTTGGACTGCCTTTGCATACACGTGCTGGATTGGGGCAAGACCCCTGAAACAACAAGTCCGAACTCCAAGAAAGTAACTCCACAAATAAAAGAACGTTCTGGAGTAGAGTCTCTGACTCGTGGCTTGAAAAGTCCAGTCGCAACCGGATAGATATGAGACTAGACGTTCGTAAAAACGAATTAATGGTGTGAAGGGCTGGACGTCCTCTGCCGACGCGTCGGTACGGCCTTCCTGCAGCAAATTGGCCGCCGAGGCTGCGTCGTTGAGATCAGCAACCTGGTCTGTCGACAGCAACCCCACCCCTGGCGCATCCCATTCGCCGAGCCGCCGTGAAGGCAGCAACCAGCTGCAGTGCGACCGTCGAGGCGTCGATCAAAGACATGACCGTCGAGGCACAAGGGATGCCACGAGAAAAGCTTGGACGTCAAAGGCGCGTCGAGCCAGAGTGCTGAAGGCAGCTACGCCGTTCGCGATTGTTACTGCACACACAATTGTGTTACACTAATTACATAGACACATACATACATACGTACGTACATACATACATACATACATACCTTCATTCATTAATAGCTAAAACATACATACCTACAAACCTACATGAATACATATATACATACACATATACATACACGCATAGATAAATATGTATATGCATACATCTTATGCATACCTGTACATACAGCACCATCATCACAAGCATCATCATCACCATAGTAATGTTCATCGTCATCGTCATCATCATCTGAATCATCATCTTCATCATCATCATCATCCACGTCAACATCGTCATTGCCATCATAATCATCATCATTACCTTCATTATCATATTCTCTCTCTCGCTCATCATCATCATCATCATCATCATCACCATCAACCTCGTCATCAACATCGTCATCATCATGATCATCATGGTCACCATGATCATCATCGTCAGCGCCACCGTCACAATCACCGTCACCACCGCCTTTGTAAAGTAGTGTAGCAGCTTAGCATCATCAACACCAAGATCGACACTACCTCCGCCATCGCCACCCCGCGAAAGGATTACTCAAACGAACTCAGTAACCGGAAAAAGCATAACCGTCGTTCATGTGAGCAGACTGGGGAGTCCGTGGAATCGCGAATGATAGCACAACCACCTGAGACTGCACAGGGCGCTGACGAATCTGAGGCTTCGGCTGTCACAGACCATGTCACCTAAGTGAAGTCTTCGTCATCGACATGAGAGACTGACACACGTCACGCAGTTTCTGCAGGTAGCACCGTTCAAAGGGCACGGGAAGTGGAGCTCTCAAAGGCTACAACTCCCCGAAATCGTGGTGACAATGGGCGAGTGCCTTCTCCGCTATGCAACGATAGAGGCTAGATAACCAGAGGCGTGTTACTGCGCCTCCAGCTGAAAAGCTTTTGCAACAGGATCCGTGTCCACTAAACCCTGAGTGCTGCTAGACTCTGCTAGACTGCTTCTGGTCAGCTGGAGCTTGCGCTGAGACAATGTCAGTGCAAGACCATGGAGCCGGACTGAATTCCAAAAGCACGGACACTGTACGGACCGATGCAGCCCTGGCCAAGTGAAAGCTTTCGACTTAGCCCGTGGCGACTGGAATGAGGGCTGCCATTGCTTTGGAGAGCACTTGTGGAGCATAGGTGCTCGTGTTGGGAGGCCTCGAACAATCAAGAGTCGAAAACAAGCTGGGATGCCGGGGCTCCCCATCATCGATACCCCAAAGCTGAAAAATACACTTCATGACGTCTGGAGTGTCAACGTCAATAAGCTTCAGAATCAGTGCGGAAGCGACGCTGAGAATAAGCATTGCAGATACAGTGGCGACAATGGTGAGTGATGACGTGAATGCAAGATGATAGCATGAACATGACGACGACATCGGAAACGCAGTCGCAAGCAAGATGATCATCATGACGGCGGTAGTGAAATGTTATGATAACAGCTACTTGCACAGAAAACACGATACTCCTCGTGTCTTCTTGGCATTGCTCGCATGTCTTATCTCTTACTGTCTTACTTTCTCGATCGCGGATGCTACCACGACGAGCACGACGACTGAATTGACACGACCGCCGCTGCTGCTGCCACGACGAGTACGGCCACAAAATTGATGCTACCGCCGCTGCTGCTGTCACGACGAGTCCGACGACAGATTTAACGCTGCAGCCGCTGTAGCTGCGACGGCGCGTACGACAGACTTAATGCTACCTCACCGCTGCTGCCACGTGGAGTACGACGACAGAAGTAACGCTACCGCCGCTGCTGCTGCCACGACGAGTACGACGACCGAGTTGATGCTACCGCAGCTGCTGCTGCCATGACAAGTACAACGACAGAACTAACGCTGCCGCCGCTGCTGCTGCCGCGTACGACGAGTAGGACGACCGAATTAACGCTACTGCCGTTGCTGCTGCCACGACAAGTACGACGACAGAACTAACTTTACTGCCGCTGTTGCTGCCACGACGAGTACGACGGCAGAATTGAAGCTGCCGCCGCTGCTGCTGCCATGACAAGTACAACGACAGAACTAACGCTGCTGCCGCTGCTGCTCTCACGTACGACGAGTACGACGACCGAATTAACGCTACTGCCGTTGCTGCTGCCACGACAAGTACGACGACAGAAGTAACGCTACCGCCGCTGCTGCTGCCACGACGAGTACGACGACCGAGCTGATGCTACCGCCGCTGCTGCTGCCATGACAAGT